ATATATCTGTGTTGTGTGTTTATATAATTTTTTCTGTAATGTTTATATAAAGAAACTGATAAACTTTAATTTAATATCGTTTATTTTTTATTTTTATTTTTTCATATTCCAAAAATCATACGTGAATTGCATGATGTGAATTGATTGACCCATCTTTGTACTCCTTCATCTACCTAAATATAAAATAAACCAATCAATCAACCAACCAACCAATCAACCAACCAACCAACCAACCAATCAACCAACCAACCAACCACCATCTACAAACACCAATATATAAATAATTTTAAAAATTTTAATGTTTTAACATAAAATGTTAATGGACCAAACCCAACGAATCGACAAACAACAAAATATTACATTTTCCATAATTCAGAAGCTAAAAAGGCCAATAAACAAAAGACTAAAAGCCAGACAGGTGAATTAATTACTTACCTTGTGTCTAGTTAGCTTCAGCTTTGTCTGAAACTAATATATTGACGTTTTTACTTACAATTTTACTTTTATATAAGACTCGTATAAATCAACCATCTAAACTGAGTTGAACATGATTTTGCTATACGAATTTATTTTTCAAAGGATTATTTGAAATGTTTTTTATTACTATATAGTGTGGAAAAATTAATAGCACTACTGTAGGAGACGATAATGTAATATAATGGTGTTATTATCCTCTCCTCAATAATAATTATAGGATTTGCAAGAGTATATTCAAATTAAGACGAGTACATTTCAAATGTAATAAAAGGAGGTAATTTTAACATATTTAATATTAATATTTTATTGCGGGTCATGCAGGTGAGAGTGATGGACGTCCGCCAATGAAAGAATCATCTCATGCCGTCGCTCCAACTCAGTATGCCAGCGAAGCCATCAAATCGGAATCGGATGGAAATCATGTGCAGCCCTCTACCACTTCAGCTGCTGAAACTGGACACAAGAAGGAAAAATCAGTGCTGCAGGCTAAATTAACGAAATTAGCAATACAAATTGGTTACGCTGGTTCCACGATTGCCGTGCTTACTGTTATCATACTGATTATACAGTTTTGCGTTAAGACGTTTGTCATCGATGAGAAACCATGGAAAAACACCTATGCTAATAATCTCGTTAAGCACTTGATTATCGGTGTCACAGTATTAGTTGTTGCTGTCCCTGAAGGGCTTCCACTGGCCGTAACGCTGTCTTTGGCGTATTCGGTGAAGGTAAGTGAATTATATATTATATATACATATATATATATATATGTGTGTGTTCGATATGTTTCTGATGGAAATTGTCATTGCCCCCTCTACCGACCAGAAAATGATGAAGGATAATAACTTGGTGCGTCATTTGGATGCCTGTGAGACAATGGGCAACGCAACGGCTATATGCTCCGACAAGACGGGCACGTTAACAACAAATCGTATGACCGTTGTTCAATCCTACATTTGCGAAAAACTATGCAAGGTGCTCCCAACGCTCGCGGACATACCACAGCATGTCGGGAATCTAGTCACTATGGGAATATCTGTCAACTCCGCCTATACCTCGAACATAATGGTAAAATATATAATATATATATAATACTCGAACTACGTACATTATATGTACACGAGTGTACATGTAAAATTTCAAGTCTACAGCTCTTGTGTTTTTGAAATCTCGCTATATATGAGCTAGCCATATACTCAGATCTATATACATCTATATACAGATCTTTTGAGATCTGAGTATATATATATMYMYAWAAAWAWAAAWWWT